ACTTGCAAGTGTAACACTGACAGGCAGAACCAAATGTGGGATCCCTGGAGCTTAATGCATGAGCCTCTACAGCTTGAGCTAAAAGCCAGCTGCCTCTCAGCTAAAGCTGGAGCGCACACTCATTCTTTCTCTCTGTAAGTGGTCTACATGGGACAGTGAGCCATACCCCATAGGTGCCTGGGTTACACAAGCACCCTTACACTTGCAAGTGTAACACTGACAGGCAGAACCAAATGTGGGATCCCTGGAGCTTAATGCATGAGCCTCTACAGCTTGAGCTAAAAGCCAGCTGCCTCTCAGCTAAAGCTGGAGCGCACACTCATTCTTTCTCTCTGTAAGTGGTCTACATGGGACAGTGAGCCATACCCCATAGGTGCCTGGGTTACACAAGCACCCTTACAAAGCCAGGCCTCAGGGACTTCTGGGGGGGGGGGGGGTAAGCTCATTGGAATGAATGTGGATTGCACAGGAGGCTCACAAGTGTGTGCAAAGAGTACCACATCTGTCATCTGGCCCAGGGTTAGAAAACTCTCCTTGGTGGCTCCCAGGCTCACCCCACAATGGTAAATATGGTACCTGTCACTATGACACTACATCTTTTCATGTAGTGCAATCATTGCACTATTGAAGACACCATATAGTTATGTACCTTAAAACCCAAAGTCAGGAAAAAGGGTCTCTGGCATTGAGGGACTGTGGATGTGTAAGGGTATTTGAGCTCATGTTCACTTAATAGCCAAACTTGCAAGCTGTTCTGCTGCAGTGCCTAAAGCCAAGGGCTCTAGTCCTTCAATCCACATTTCTGGTGCGACTCTCTTATTGTCTTCCTGTCCTTTTCTCTAGCATAGTTCAAACCACCTATCATGTGTGTCTAAGCATAAAAACATGATTAAAGGTAGCATTTCGGAAAAAAATAATGTTATACTCTTTTCCATGCACCCAAAGGCCTTCAGTGGAAAAAAGGATATATAACCAGTAAAGTTTTCAGGGGATTCTTTTTTACACAATAGGCTGGCAGCTGCCTGCTGTACTAGTTGTATTTTGACTAGTTCTGAAGAATTTATGAGATGCCCCTTTCTGTTTTCTAATTATGATAATTTTAATGAACATATCTGTGACTTAAAACTGATTCTCAGTGGCGAAGTAACTTATGGAGATTCCAGATGGCATTAATGCTTTGCACTTACCCTGTAGTACACTTCATCCAAGGATCTTGAATCACTTCACAAACACTAATTAATTGAGGCTCAAGGCACTTCTGTGAGCTAGCTAAATACACATCTGAGAGATGACTATACCAGCATGGAGAAGTCAGATGAATATGCAAAGTCTGAAAACTAGGTCACTCAAAGAACTATAATTGGAAACAAGGAGTCCTGATTCCATGTCCCTTGCCCTAGGCGTTAGAAATGCTACTTCTTCTATCCATATCTTGATGGATTTGATGATTTGTTACTTTTTTACCAATGCACACATCATCACAAAAAGCATCCCAAAACAAAAAACAGTTAATCAAACACAGCTGCAGTAGAAACTACACAGATCAACCTGTGCCCACTGAAACTACTCAAGTACTAGAAATGTCATCTTTTCTAAGGCCGTATCTATACTACTATCTATACTACTAAGTTATGCTACTCCAGTACATGAATAATGTATCTGGAATTGATGTAGCTTAGACTGACTTAAAGCAGTGTCTATACTGTACTTCATCTACAGGAAATGCTCTCCCGTTGACTTCCCTTACTCTTCTTGCAGTGGTGGATTACTGGAATTGACCAGAGAGAGCTCAGTCATCGATTGAGGGGACTTCCATAGACCTATTAAATCAACACTCACAGCATTGATTGTAGCCGTGCTAGTCTACTAGTAAGTGTAGAGAAATCCTAAGTGAAGGGTAAAACTGAGGCAATGGTGAATACCACTGTAAGGTAACTGTTACCAAATGTGGTCTTTAATGGTGACTAATAACTCCGGGGGTAGTAGTGTAGAAGCACGACATTTACAATTAGATGTAGCATTACATTCCTGAAGTGCGCTAAATAGTTAATGTAAAAAAAAGAAAGATTACTTGTCCCTGGGTAATTTCAAGGGGCACATTAAGACAATGCTCCATTGAAGAGAATGATGTTTTGCTCAAGGACAGTGCTTAGTGTACTTAAAAGACCTTATTAAACGATGTTTATAGTTTTCTTTTGTATTGTATTACTCTCCATTGTTTGTACACATTTTCTTCTTTCCTGATAATTTTGCTTTTTAAACAGACAGCGATTTTCCACCATATTTTTGAAAAGAAGAAAATGGAGGAATGAGCATATGACTAACAATGTACTATATATTTGAGAGAGTTGGTGTATCTACCTGTCTGTTTATTTGTCAGTCTGAGTCTGTTTGTTCAAGAATTAATCCTAAATGGTAAGAAGCTAGGGCTACCAAATTTGGTATGCATCTTCCTCTTATCATAACTTAAAGCAAGGTCAGGATTTGGTTGTGCCAGGACAATGGGATGTGCCTGGAATATGATTGTTCCTCATAAATAGGAAAAGAGGGAATCTGATAGCAGGCACAGTTATGCTGCATAACGATCACGGGGCGTAACTAGGGGCCAGAGGTAGGGACCAGGTCAGCTATAACCCTATTGGGGTTTGAGAGAGTTTGTCTGTCTGTGTGTTTATATGTCTGTCTGTCCCCCAGCCAATGGACAGATAGTGAACCCCTCATCCCCAGCCTCACCCCAGAGCAATGATTTAAATCAAGAAAAACAAAAACTATTTCAGTAACGGACCCAAGCAATACCAGGAAAATCTTCTAGTAATTTATATTTATATAAAGTCCTGGCACACAAATCAGCTTTGATTTTGCATCAGCTGATGTCAGCACAGAATGAAGGACACATGGCCCTATCTGGAACAGGCTTCAGCACCTTTGCATTGCTCCAATGGCACAAACAGGCTGAAAAGCTGATTTATATCAGCTAGGGATTTCCCTGATGTGTGAGAATCCCCAGGTGACACAGCTGGCTTTAGACATCTCACTCTACTGGCTCTGCTATAGGAGAAGTCTCAGAGAGTGAGGTACTGTGGTCAGAGCACACTTCTTTTTCCCTAGAGCCAGCTGTGGAGTGGCCTCTTTAGGCCTGTGGCAACTCTGCATAATTTAAACTAGTCCTGAGTCTTATAAAAGTTCCCAGACTAGCCCCTGGAAGTGCTGGGGAGCAGGAGTAGGGATATGAGGGTATGTCTACACTTCCA